TTAATTTTATTTTTAAACACAGCTGCAATAATCATTTTAAAGTACAAGGATACATCTATACTATTATAATAAAGCGTAAACACACAATTCTTTGTTGCCTAAGATGTCAGCAATTACAACATATTTTTGAATAGTTCTTTTATTAATAAGAAGCCCTACACTTACGTCGTGATTTAGTCTATATATTTTCACGCCATTAAACTTAGGGGCAAATATTTTGGATAAAAACCCTAATGTGGGAAAGAGACCATAAGTTGCTGCCAACATCAAGGAAGCAAGATTGCCATGCTTTGTCATGATGTCGTCATTTTGACATTTGCAATTGATAATTTGACATTTGAACAATAAAATAAAATTTTCATAATTTCATGCGGATAAAGCCGCACGGGAACAGCTAGTTTAAGTGATAAAGAAATTCTCGACTTATAAACGACGAATATTAATGTTTCTATGTAGGTGTTTCAGCAATGTAAACTCGCAGTAACAATCAACAGAAATATCAATTTATGATCTGTAAAATTATAAATTCTTGATGGGGAATCCCCGGAACTACTACGTTGCTGGTTGTCTTTGCTCAGACAATCCCCGTCTAGGGTTTAATTTTAAGAGTTGTGTACACATTACGTTTAAATGTGCACCTGTAAATAACAGGCATCTTTTTTTTTTCAATGGTTATGAGAGAGATGAGTGTGCAGATGTATTTCTTACATCTGTCTCCATTTATACTATTATAATAAAGCGTAAACACACGCTTTTTGTTGCCTAAGATGTCAGCAATTACAGCATATTTTTGAAATATTCTTTTTTCAATAAAAATCCCTACACTTACGTCACGCTTTAGACTATATATTTTCACGCCATTAAACTTAGGGGGTAAAAATTTTGGATAAAAATCCTAATGTGGGAAAGAGACCATATATTGCCGCCAACATCAAGGAAGCAATTATCATTTGTGCATTTGAATTTTGACATTTCATGCGGATAAAGCCGCACTGGAACAGCTAGTAAAATATAACTTAGCTATGCAGCTTTACCCGATTGCTTTATGTTGTTCACAAATGGTTAGGAAATTAATGTCCTCGACTATGTACAGTTATTGTACAGTACTGGAAACAGTTTTATCTCGGCTATCGGATCAATGAGAGAGAAAGCGCGTTGCTAGTTCTATATATAAATCACTATTATTACTTTCTAACGTTGACTGTGGTTCAAGTTAGTACTTAGAGTTGGTAATTCTATGTTATTTATAAACTTGGACTGTTAAGTAAGTTTATAGTTATCCCCTTTCTAAGACTTCGTATTTATTTTAAAGATTCTGGTTAAATGTCTATTCGTCAAGTTTGTAAAAATTTAAAATTAAGTTAATATTTAAACTCTACGCCAATGTTGATGTTTTATTATTTCACTTACACTTATTCACTTCCCTAGCGGGCGTAGCGCTGTGTAGATGTGTCAAACGAAGTTAATTAACTAAATCGAAGTCCAGTGTTAATAACAATCTAAGTGTAGTAAAATAACTTTTTATTTTTTGTGAAACAAAACCAAATCTACTACTCCGACGTCGTACATCTGTTACTTATATAAACAAAAACAACAAGCACGTAATCTGTGAGTAAACATCAACTTTTTTCTCCACTACCCTACGTTAACATCGATCTTCGCTGACTTACAAAAAGACCAATACAGTGTTTGAGAACAACAACATTCTACTGATATAACTATGCTACCGCATTTTACAACTCGATACAATTAGAAGTAAAAGCAATATTTTTCGGTACAATCTGGGCCTTTAGGACACAAGGTTTGCGTACAGAGATAAAAAGTAAAAATTAGAAAATAATAATAATAATATAAATATTTATACATTCATACAAGTTTTTTTTTTAAAAAAAAAATGCCACTAAAAAGGACGCCACCAAAGTCGCCAAATGTGTCTACCTTAGACGTACATCCGCTGCAGACACACAGTCAGTCCGACCCTGCTATATGTATGACATACAAGCCTGAAACCCTAACAACTAAAAATACTCAGAGGATTAGGAGAAAAAGAGATCGATCGGCGGATCAATCAGACCTTGACGATTTTAAAAACACTATCATGAATGTACTCAAGGACTTGCAAACAACTGTAAGTGAAATCAAAGAGCAAAACGTAAAACTTCAAGAGTCTGTGGACTTTACGGCACACAAATACGATGAAATATTGACAAAAATGAAAGAAATGGAGGAGGAGAGAAAAGAAGATAAAAG